GCCATATGCTTCTGCTATCTGCAACCTTCATCCATCTTCATCAAATGAACCTTTTCAGCTTATCCTTCCATCGATCGGGAGGTGTTTCAACAGGCCGTTTACTCTCTTCCTCTTAGAACCTAGTCTAATGTCTATATAGTTCAGCGACGGTCGATTCCTTTTGAAAAGTGTCCTGTCCATTGCCATTTCAGCCTGTTCACTCAGGCAAGGATATCGCAGACTCTTGTTTCTATTGCTACCCATTCATTCGTTTTCCTGTCTCTTCTTGTTACTCGTAACATACGTCTTTTCATGCTCCGTTGCATAATCTCCAGGTTTTGAATAACTTTCAAGCTTTAGGTATGAACAACCCAGGTACCATGAATAAAATTATATCTTGACTCAGAGAGTGGTTCAAGGCTTACTATTACTCGAGGCATTTTAATTTCACAAACAATGAGTTCTTATACAAACCCTGCAGATGATGACAGCCTTCCGTCGGTTGCACAGAACTTGGGAAGTTGTTTGTGACATATTTGGCCGAATAACATCGACACTGCCTCATGAAGCTCGCTATACCATGGCATTCTTTCATTAAACTCAGTAGTAGAACTAACTGCGAGAAGGCAAACTTCGAACAAAGAAAGACGTCAGGGCCGAGGGTTACATTAAGCACTTATTAAAAGGACGAGTACTCCCAGAGGCAACGAAGGATGATAGAGATCCCTCAATTTCAGAGGACTTCGAAGTCGTTCGGAGTAGTACAACAATATCTCTTATAACCTTTACTGAACCATGAGATTCGGTAATGAACCCTTTAACCAAAGATGAAACCCGGATCAACACTGACTGATGAAAAGACATCCTTCAGGAAGACATACAGCTCACTTTGGAATATCTCAATCGTGAAAATAGACTAAAATCATACACCGCTGTTTCTCATCACACACAATATGTTCAATCCCTGTAGCCATTGGTAGAGAACCAAATGACCATTACACGCCGCAACTTTAAACCAACATGGAAATATGAGGTCATCAAGCCTCAGATCAATGCATTCTAGCATTTTCCATTAATGGACTGATTCAGTGAAGTAGTCATGACGAGGCTGTTGTCAAACAAACAGATTCTGAGACAGGCGGACGATGATCATGACGACACACTGTTTTTCTTACCATACTGCTGGACGTAAATCTCACTAATAATTATCCACTGAATCGTATCTCCACTACACAGAAAAAGAAACGAACCTTTTTAACCGGTGTAATCTCTTGCTGCTTTGCATTTCTATGATGGTATCATTTATGGCAATTTTTTTCGCTTCCTTGAGCAAATGATAAGGCAATTCTATACAGTTAACCAGGAGTGCCTTGTTGTTTTCTTAAAGCTGTATCTACGGCTTAGATCACTATAATATATTAGGTTTGCGTTGGCACTAATCTATGAAAATCAGTAAAACGAATGATAAAGATAGAAAGTTCTGAATATAAAAAATCTCAATTATCAATTAGACGATCCATCAACTGAGTAACTCAAATTTTCGAAATTTGCCATCCACCTGAAACCCACATACTCATTTTCGGACTGCAGATGTGTCGGGCTTC